TGTTTTTAGATAGCATCAGAAATAATAAGAGAGCACCTTGTTCCAGGTTAGAGTAATCTGTTCACATCTCCTTGAGAGATTAAACAAGGACATCTTACACCAGGAAGCAGCAGAACACACAGGTCTTACTCTGGTGAAGAAAAATGTTAAATTTATCTCCTATATAATGTGCAATTTTGTCTCAGATGGTGTCAAACTGGTACTCTGCAAAGTCAGGAGCAGCAAAAACTGCATGCCATGCTAGTCAGCTGGACACAGCATTTCTCTTTTAACCCAGTTACACTGCCAGCCATCCCTGCCAGTGAGGTCAGTGATAAACAATAACACAGTTGCAGTACAAACATGAGGCATTTTCAAATGGTTGAACCCATTCAGCCAGCAAGGGAGCACACAAACAATCATGTGGTCATGAGCAGGGAGGATAGGGAACACCAGATAGGAAAGTCTAAACCATGAATGCCCAAATCCAGTAAAAAGCTTTCTTCTCACACAGGATGCTGATGTTATCGTGACCAACTCCATTCTCTTCCCTCCTGGAGCTTACACAACTAGAAACACGTCCTTGCAGTTTTTCTGACTCAACGAGCTCTGAGCCAGGCTTCTCTCGTTAACTGCACGTACCAAACTCCTTATTATACTAGAATTTTTCATGTAAAATTAAAAGAGAAGAACAAGCTCCTTATCACAATATCATCAATGGAAAATAGTTGTGCTTGCAATTACAGGGGTTTGGGTTTGGGGTTAATGTGCTGTCCTGCACCAAAGCCCTCAGCTGTGGCCTGCTGGAGCAGTCAGTCACTGGCCAACAGTCCTTGGCTCACAGTGTCAAAGGAAACAAAGAAAGTGCAGATTTCTTGGGCCAGGAGTTGGCACTCACTAGACTGCAGCTCCAGCATCACCACTGTACACACCACAGATACTATTTCCAGGTACCTTCACTCAGTGCCTGCAGGACACAGGATCCATCAGCCCAAACCCATCAGAATACTCATCCCTGATTTCAGGTCATTCTAACTGCAGCTCCTAACCTGCCTCAGCCCACTCTAGACAATCTGACTGAAGGGACCTTGGATTAGTGAATTAGTGAATCTTTCCAGTGTAAACATGATTAGTGTAGCCATGAATCATATAGCTATTACAGTTGTCTATGCAGATATTTCACATCCCTGTATTAAAATAATATTTTCTTATCTAGCAGCCATGTTCCAAGTCCTCTTTCTGTTTGTGAAATATTGCTCGGCCTTTTCCTCTCTCCACTCCAGCAGGGAGTGTGTCATGGCACCAAACTCATCTGCAAAGGCACAGGGAAGGAAAAAGGGCAGAATTCAATTATTCAGAGGACAAAATTAATCTTGAGGTTACTTTAAGACATGTTCATTTGAAAGTGCCATATGAAGATAAAAATCTATCAGAGGATCAAAGCTGCAGCCTCACACTATGCAGCTCCCTTTATGTCACTGCTTGAGCTTTAGATGTGGGCTTGCTAATGTGAGGATTCCCACCAGGGAGGAGAGGAGGCCACAGAAACCAATCACTCCTGGGTTGGTCTTGTAGATTCCCAGCGTATCCAGAGGGCCTGAGAGATCACAGAGGTTCTTCACCAAGTCCAGCAGCAAAGGAGGATTCCTTTTCAGAATCTGAATGAGCTGGTGGAGAAAACTCTGCAAACCGTCACTTTTCACACCATTTAGTTCCTCACTGTGTTTCTGCCAGAAGCAATTCTCCTTTGTCTTTTCTTCCAGTGCAGCTTGTTCCAGTCTCCAGGAGATCTCATACCAGTCCCTGGCCAGATTCAGCAGGAGTGAGCAGTAGTAGCACTTGGTAGCCCAGTGGTGCCACTTGGGTCTGTCGATGTGGGGCTGGAGCCCGACGCTCCTCAGCCACAGCACGGCGTCACACACGAAGTACAGGGCCCGGCTCAGGTGGGAGGCTGTGAGGCACAGGCGAGGAACCACGTCTGGCAGCTCTGCACTTCTCCTGGCTGCCACCAAGGCGTGCACCACGTTGCCCAGTCTGAACACTGCAAGAAACCCCACAAAGGTTAGCACAGCCGGCCTCACCCAGAACTCAGCCTGCTGCTGTCCACGTGTACTATTATAAAACTTGGAGGGCTTTGGGCATTTGTGTGATTAAGCACTTTCCAGAATTAGTGAGGAAAGGGGTGTCAGCATCTCAGTTCTGTGTAAACATCAACAGCTCAGGACATACACACATGTTTGGTCAACAGAACCAGGACTTGCAGCCTCTGCTGTCACCCTGTTCTTGCACCCGGGGGCCCTCTGGACCAGTATCACCCTCAGCTCTGCAGGAGTCAGTGCCAGCCAGTAAAGAACACAAACAGAGCCTCTAATTTCAGCTGTACATTTCACTGGATTTTACCTCACTTTGTGGGCTTTGTGCATTAATCCTATTGCAGCCATGAGATACAAGTTTCACAAGTGCCTGTGAAAGCCGGTGATTCACCTGCTGAGCATGGACACCAAAGTCCCTCCTCAGCCATGGATCTGTCAGAGGGACATGCAGCTCCCTGCAAACTGTGTGGAACAGCGTATTCCAAGCTACAGCATACGGCAAACCTGATTTCACCTGCTGCACCATTTGGGTTTTTGGCCCCTGAATGTTAATACAATATTATTCAAAACACTTTTTACACCCTGGTGCCTTGTCACAGTGACAGATGTTGACAGCACCCAAGCCTGGTGGAACTACAAGAGCCCTGAATTTAGGCCTGATGTCTATTAGTTATTTATTTAGCAGAAGCACAAGAATTATGGCTATGCTGATAAACCAACTGGCCTCCCCACTAGAAATTACCATAACTCTGAAGCTAATGGAATAATAAACAAATCCATGGCAATACGATAGACTAGAATATTTGTCTTATGTGTTGCAGTTGTTCCAGGATTGAGCAATTGACAAGTGGGTGGAAGATCAAGCTGAAAACAAGCGATACACACATAGTAACAGCGTAACCATCGTTGATGCAACTGTGACACAGAATGGAGTGATGCAAATAGTCAGGCAGTGTGAGAAGCATGGAAGGGTATGTGATTTAGTAGGCTATAAATGCTAAAGAAAATTAATATGTTAAGTAGGATATAAAAGCCATATTGAAGGATGGTCCTTTAGAAGTGATTTTGTGGGATGATGATCTTTTAACACTGGGCTGTCTCAACCCATCAGCTGGAAGGACTAATGAGCACAGAGTGAGCCAGCCTTGCCTGCAACCCTGGTCTGTCCTTGAACAGAGGGGATATTTTGGCCTCTACAGCAGCAGATAGCTGTTAACTTATTCCTCTCACCCGTCCTGCGGTAATTCTGATTGTCTAACTGGAGAGGAGGGTGAGGAACTAAAAAAAATCAATTTGGCCCTACCTAGCCTGGCAAGCCATGGCAGGGATAAGGTCTATTGACAGTTTTGTAAATATACTAAAAGAGGTTTTGTGGCTCAAGGTAGTTAACTACAGGAAACACAAGGCCAGGCACTGTTTAACTGGAAGGAGCAAGTGAAGAAGGTCTTATCCCTCTAGACACCAGGTACTTACTTTTCCGGCCAGAGCTCATGCTAGATTCCAACTGCTTGAGTTTCATTACCAGCTTCTTTTTATCGGCTTTATTCTCTATTAAATAGCTAAGCAACATGCATGTGTACTGAGTGGCTCTGGAAGGGAAAAAACGAGGAGAGGGGGACATAGGTGAGACACGGACAATCACAGGATGGCAGCAGCAGGACAGGTTTATTTCACAATATCAGAATTGTCAGGCTTGGAAGGGACCATACAGTACAACCCCACTGTCAAGGCAGGGTCACCTGGAGCAGGTGACACAGGAACGTGTCCAGGTGAGTCTGGAATGTCTCCAGAGAGGGAGACCCCAGGACCTCCCTGGGCAGGTGTTCCAGCGCTCTGCCACCCGCAATGTAAAGTTCTTCCTCACGCTGAGGTGAAACTTCTTGTGTTTTAGTTTACGGCCATGGCTCCTCGTCCTGTCGCAGGGCACCACGAAGAGAGTCTGGCACCATCCTTGGAGCGGGAGGTGCCCCAGGCCCGTGTCAGGGCCGGGCTGGGTGCGGGCACGGGGCCGCGGCCCGGCGGGACGGGCATGGGCGCGGGGCCGCTGACGGGCCCGCGTCGGTGCTGGGAGGTCCCCTGCCCCCACACTCACCGGAAGAGCTGGTCGCGGCCCTGGCAGCGGTTGGTGAAGTCCACGAAGCCCTCCATGGCTCGGCGGCACCGCGGGAGCAGCGCGGGGGCAGCGGCCGCTCCGCCCCGCCGGGCCCAGGCCCCGCCCCGCCACGGAACGCTCCGCTGCACGCCTCGTTCCCGGCCGGGCTGCGGCACCGAGGTGCCGTTACCACGGCAACCGTCAACAACGGAGCAGTGGCGGTGTCACCCCTAAAGGCTTCCCCCTCCCGGGAGCCGGCGGCTGAGCTGCGGCGGATCCTCCCGGGAAAGGCGGAGGAGCCCGGCTCGACCCTCGGCCCCCGGCTCCGCTCCGAGGTCAGGCCGCGGTGAGGGGTGACGGCGGTGCGGTGCGCCCGCGTGAGCACGGCCCCGCCGCAGAGGTGAAGCTCCAAACCGCCCGATGTCTCGGAAATGAAGTATAAAACTTCCAGCGGGAACACCCGCTCTCGAAGTTAATCGTTGGGATTTTACCCAGGCCGAATAAGTCCATTAACGAAAAGCAAGCTAATATTTTTGAATGCTTTGTCATAATTCTTACAAAGCTCGTGACAAAGTTTTTGGGCTCTCTTTCCCTGTGGGCAGCCTGGGCTGAGATCCCCAGAGCAGGACAAACACCTCGGGAAACAGAGGCGATGCAAGGAGAAATGAGCTGTTCAGAACAGGGCTATCAATATTGAAAGGAATCCCCCTTAGACATCATTAATCATCTTTTCCCCCATTACCTCATGAAAGAAAGTATTGAAGGACTCTTCGTTCTTCTGCATCCAGGGTGATTCCTGCATCCGTGGTGCGTTTTGCCTCTGGAAAGGGAGAACCATGGCGGTGAATACCCGGAAGCATCCCCTGAGGATTCCCCCACCATCTGAAAAGGATTGGCAAAAGGAAGATGAGGAAGATTTCTTCCTGCTGGATCCTGATCGAAAGCGTGATGTGCTGCCGCAGCCCTTCAGGATGATCAACAAACTGGTGATGCAGGTTTTTGAGAGTGCTATGGAAATCATTGAAAGGAGGGAGATGCTCCGAGAAGCACAAAAACGAAAGGTGCAGCCCAAAAAATGCTTTCCTACAGCTGAATTCCAGGTACAGAGCCTCTCCCAGCAGAGACAGCATTAACCACCATAGCAGATCTTGTCATTCCTCTGTTCATGACCTTCCTCAGAATGCACCACCATCTCACTGGTTCTGTTTAAAAGCCTGCAGCTTCTAAGCTTGTCTGACAGGTTCTGCTTCCCACTCAACTATCACACCTCTCTGAAAAGAGAGAAGCAGGTATTAAACACTAAATTCACCTTCTGCTTCGCAGGCTGGCTCCACCCTTGTTTGCTGGGGAGAAGGTAATTAGTCAGTAGCACATAAGTGGGCAAGCTCAGCTCTGTGTTATGGTGAATACTCCAATAGGAGCACCGTGAGCAGAATGACAGTGCTGCCTTCCCCATTATTATGTGGGGGTGTCCAGGAGGATACTCTGGTGTCTGCTGGTGTTCTGTGATTGCTGGAGGAGTTCAGCATCCCATCAGAGCTCTGCGCTGGAATCTGAATGCTCCTGAGTTCTTGGTCTTTAAAGCCCCTTCAGTTTGTGGGAAGGGGAAACGTGGGAGAAAACTTTCTCATTCCTAACACAGACCAATCTCTGTGACAGAGATGAGAGACCCTCCTCTGCTCTTGTGGGGAAAGAATGTGTAAAAATGTTCCCCTTGTAGAATAAATCAGCATTTTCTGGTGAAAAGGCCAGGAATATATAATTAGTATGTCTGATGTACCCTGCTGTGAGAAGGCAGTTGGGTACACTCATCTTTTCCCTTTTTTTGGTAGGTAACTGGAAGAGCCAACTGCCTTGCAGTGTCTGGAAAATACATCTTTGTCGGTCTGTCCATGGGTCTGTCTGCCTTCAACATGTGTGACTTCAAGGATGTCTGTGCTTGGAATGCAGCCAAGACAGAGATCTGTGCAATCCATGCCTCAGATTTGGGGAATGAGTGCCATGTCCTGGTTGCTGTGGATGAAATGGGTTAGTGTGATGTGGATTTCCTTGCCCTAGCTGGGGATTAACTGTGCTCTGGAGCAGAACTGGCAGCTGTGCTACAGAATATTGCTAGATCAGGAGGAGTATTAGGGTGGCTGAGAAGTTTCCTAGAAAGCCCTGCAGAGAGGGCGTTGGACAGCTCACAGATTGTAGGGTGACAGAGTGGCCTTAGGGCCTTGTGATTAGCAGAGGGTGTGGGTTTGGTGGCCTTGCTGGTGCAGCAGAGGCAGGTGCAGAGCTGAGGGTGAAGGGCAGTAAAATTTAGGAACATCTTGGGCTGGGCAGAAACAACTATGAGTTCCTATCAGTATGAGCTCTTGTCTGTGACCTGTTCCTGCACCTGTGATAGTTTGTTGGTTCATCTGAAAGTTGTCAGTTCTGGTGGAGATATTTTCAGACTGGCTTATCCATTTCTATGCACAATCAAATATTTACTGGTGTTCTCGTAAGGAAGCCATCAAAAGTTTAGTGCTGGAAACAGTGGGATATTGTTCCTTGGGCCCAGGAAGTAATGTAATCCTGTCCACTCTCCTGCACATGTTGTAACAGCCATCTCCCAAGATCATGGCTAACATTCCTTCACTTTTCTCTCCCACCTTCTGCTACTTCTGTTTCATTTCTATTTCAGGGCTTGCCTGGCTCTTCTGCTTTCACAGGGAAAGCTTCCTGCTCATTAAAATACTGAATGAAGTGGTAAGCACTGAGCTAATACCATAGACACTGGGCACAGGATGGGAAGTAATCAATCATGAGGAGTACCAGTTGCCCTCAGAAATTTATTCATAGGCAGTAGCGCTCCAAGACTGCTGCCCAATATTTATTTGTGTGCTTCCAACAATCTGCCTGGCCTTCAGCCTGTTGAGAGCTGTGTAAGGCCATGGAGCTCTCTGAATCAGTGATCTTGCTCTGATGCCAGCCTGTTTTTCCTTGGCAGGAGGACATCAGCAAGAGAAGCACTTGTGTGGAGGTGGTGCTGTCCCGAGGAGGTGATTATGCAGGAATCCTGCTGCAAGGCAAGTGCTGTGTTTGGAGATTCTTGTGTTCTAACCCAGGGGCAGCAGCAATGTTTTTAGAATGCTGTAAGTGGGTACTCAGGGATCTTGTTTTAATCCTCCCAGGTCCTCCTTCAGCTTAAAGAGCAGCCCCTGCCACTCCCTGTCCCTTCCAAATCAGGACTGTTCCCAAAAGCTGTCTGGAACTGGTCAGTGCAGTCCCCAGCTCCCAGGAGGCTCGGAAAAAGCAAGTTTCCCTTTCTCCAGAAGTACCAAACTCAGTTCTTCCTCTGGTTTGCTATAGCTCACTTTTACACTGGAAAGATGTAGACCTGAAGAATTTTCTCTGCAGATATAGGCCAGAGAGCATGGAGGACCTCTATAAACACTACAAGAAACTCCTTGTTACAACATTCTTCTGTTTCAAGGCAGCTGAATCCATGACAGGCAGGTTTTCTGGACCTATGTTAGGTAGAATCTGCCTGGACACGTGCTGAGAATGAGACATGTAGCAGAGAACCAATGTGAGACCATGTCTCACTTCTACTTACTACTCAGAGGCCACAAGTCTGTTTCTTGACTGAGTAACTTCATGGAATTTCTTTGGTGGATGTGGGACCTTGAGGAGTTGAGGTGGAGACTGAGATGTCAGTCTCAATCAAGCATGTCAAGCCTTAAGTGGGAGGAGACGTGGGCTGCATGGAGTTCACAGCGATTTTATGTTTCAAAAAATACACAAATCTTTTTATAAGGATAAAATATAACAGAGGCTGCTTGCCTGAAAACCTTTCCTCCTCATTTCCAGTTGCTTAACATGGTTTCCCAATGCAGACAGCACAAAAGCTTGGCTGGAGATCTACCAATTGCCTAAAGATTCCTGGCTGACAGAGATGGAAAAGATGGCAGAAGCTGCAGAAGCTGCAGAAGAGCTGGCTTGCAGCGAGAGGAGGTCAAGCTACTCATCTGAGGTACAAACAGTTCCATCTCCCTCTGTGTTATTTTTTCTTACACCTTTTTGCCCACAGGTCTTCCCCCAAGCCTTGCTGCTGCAGACAGTGACAGCAAGACACAGCCTGAACCCTCCTGTTGGCCCAAGGGGATGGTGTGTGTGTGTCTCTACAGCTGCTGCATTTGCCCATCCCACATTTCATAAGGCCTTTGTGCTGTTGGGACATCTTTACTCTCCCAAGACAGGCTTTCCAAAGAGGTTTCCCTGGTCCCAGGGTTAGTGTTCCTGCTGCCCCTCCCTGAAACTGGCAGCTCATTTCTCAGCAGTGTTGCTCCATCTGAGGGGGCCCTGTGTAAGGATATTCCCACAGGGCTTTTCCCTTATGTTACTGGGGGAAGGTGAAGAGGAGTGGGAATCAGGCAGGATGCCTCTATTTGGGAGTCTGGTCCTGAACAGGTTTGTGCTTCAGATTACATACAAGAGAGCCTGGTGGGGTCACAGCCTCACCCACCTGAACAGGGCACAGTCTCTGCCTGTGTGCACTAACCACTGTCAACTCTGGTTCTCTGGCAGAAAACTGAGGAGCTGCATGGAGACAGTTCTGCAGAGACTGTCCTGAGCTGCCATGGGGAATTTTAAATGCTGACTCAGTGCTTAACCCTCTCCTTTATCACTTTCACCCTGCTGGATTTCACCTTTCAGCACACAGACACCTCCTCCCAGCACCTTGAACTAACCCTCTGTGATAGCAGCCTCCTAACTCTTTCCTCTTCCTTCAGCAAAAACTGTCTTGGATATTTAAGAGGGAACTGCTTCTCAGCCTTGTCCTCAGAGCAAACACCCTGCTTAACTTAGCAAAGCCAAAAACAAGCACTCATGCATTGTCTCTTTGCTGATTCTATGCAAACTACCCGAGTTCCTGCCCCTTCCTTCTCAGATGTGGCTGATTATTAAGCCAGACCTTCTCTGTTTAGCTCAATGTCAATGTGTACGGGGTGGTTGTGGTGGGCACACACTGATGTTGACCCCCTGTTACAATTTTCTGCTCCCAGCCAAGCAAATATGTGACCTCCTCCAATCCTGGGCTCTGTGAAGTAAAATCTGGTTCTTGCTTTCAGGAGACACTCTTCAACCTTTAGTCTTGCTTATATTTTTTTTTTGTTGGTTTTTTTTTTGTTGTTTTTTTTTTGAGATTTTCTTTTTTTTCTCCCCTTTATTTTCTGAGGATTGCTGTGACTCACACAGGCCTGTGCAAAAGGAATAATTGAGAGATGGCACAAAGACAGGAGTCCGGGCAGGACATCCTTGTAATTTAGTTGAGAAAGTAGTGACGCCCTCAAGCTTCTGTGCTTTAGCCTGAAGAATGAGCCCAAACACAGTCTCTCTCAGACAGTGCAAGCCAACCTCTGCATACACAAAGGAGTTATTCCTAAATTCTTGACGAAGCATTTGATTCCCATGAGCAGGTGAAAACTCATCAGTGTAGCACACAACACAGTTCTCAGGTGGGCACTTTTCTGTTGCAGGAGCTTCCTGTGTCTGCAATCCAAGCTGATGTAGAGCTGGATCCCCCAGTGCTGCTGCTGACAGTGAGGCCACCCAAACCCATTACAGGTCAGGACTGATTCTGGATGTGCAGTCTGCAGCCTGTTTGAGGTGGCAAAGGAATCATGGCCCCTATAAATACAGAACAGGTCAGAAAGCTTCAGTAACATGATCTCTGGTCCTTTCCTGACCTGTCTTTCTAGGTACATGTAATCCTGTAGTGGGAGTTGCTTCCTCCCAGACCATCTCACATGTCACCTTTGCCAGCACAAAATGCTTTAGCATGTCTCAGAGTGGGTGTCATACACCCTTGGCTTCAGTGTCATTGGAGAGGGAAGAGGCTGCTTCCTAGATCTAGCAGCACCCCTAGTTCATCACTCTGAGTTCTGGATTTATAGAAAAATGCCGAGGATGAGGAGAGGACAGAGTTTGTGCTGGGAAAATGTCACAGAAAGGCAAAGTGAGTGGGGTCCTCAGAAGCCTTGCCCTAATCCCTGCATTAAATACTGGAAAATAAACTAGTGATGTGGAAAGTCCCACACAAAAAAACACAAAGTGTTTTCTGCTTCAAGACCATGCCACCCCTAAATGCCTCCATGGTGTTTGCTTCATGGTTTCTGCTTCTCCAGGGCTGTGCCTTTTCCCCATGTGTTCCCAATGCAGGCACTAGTTTTAAGGGCCCTTTGGATGCCTTGAAGGAAGTGGATGATGGCAACATGCTTGGCTTGGGGTACAATCACCTAATCAAGGATTCCCAGTGGGAACTGCAGGAAGCAATCTTCTGTAGCACTTACCAGGAGTATCTGGAGGCTGAGGGTGTGACCAAGGAGGAGATCCCCAGGTGAGTGGGAGCACCACCCAAGGTTCAGTCCGTGAGTCATGCACACAGGGCACTGAGCTGTGTAGATGGAAGCCTCTGTCTTAGCTTTGCTTCCTTCATCCCAAGGCTTCAGGGCAGGGGGCTGGAGCCATTCCAGGTCTTGTTATAGTGCTGCCTACTTATCAAAGCCTTTCTTTTACATGTATTTCTTCCTTTTTTCAGATATGCTACCTTTCATTTCCTCCTTCCTAGCCGGATTCTGGTGGGACCAGAAACGGAACTACAGCCAGGTAATCCAAATGGACAAAAAGCTGTTAATCTGTGAAGCACAGTGGTTGCATGACATTGAGCTCCAGTGAGAGCTCAGTGAGCTTGGCTTGCATCCACTCTGGAAGTTCCATCCAGGGACATAAAGCTGGGTAAAATTGTCAGCCATAAGACTAAAAAGTCAGTTACTGTCATAGAGAAAAAAACCTGTATCTTCATATTAAAAAAAAAATTCACAACCTCCCCCTGAAAAAAACCCCAAATTAAAAACAACATCCCCAAAAATTAAAAAGGAAGCATATAGACAAGATTGAAAAAAACCCAAAAACAAACAAAGGGAGAGGTTGTTTCTAATGGTGTTTTGGTGTCCTGGATTGTTCCTTTCTTTGTTCCCAGTCTTCTTCTCTTTTTGTCATCCTCTTCTCTGTACCAGATATTCCAGTTGGCATCGGTGTGCACTGGGATGGAAACCACAACTTCTGCTTGTACTTACTTAACCGTTCAGTCAAAGCGAGTAAGAAAAGTTTTCCTTCTCTAGCAGAGCACTCTGTGGGGAGTGGGAGTGTTCTGTGGCCAGGGGCTGTCATTCTGCCAGGTCTTCATGATTCAGGGAAATGAGGAATTGGGAGCAAAGCTGACTCATATCTTGTGGGTTAGGCTGGCATTTGGATTGTGGGGCTCTGTGTTGCACAGCCTGACTGTTTTTAGTGAAGCCACTCTGGCAGGAGGCTGCAGAATGGTGCATGTTTAATGGGGAAAATGGATACTAGTACTGTATGAGAGAATGTGCTGTACCTTCTTACAGTTGTCTCTCTTCATGCCATTCTGTTTAGACTCTGATCTGAAACCTGATGTTGTGTGGCCATGTGCAGCTCCAATTGCATGCTCGGCTGTCAGCTCCTGCTCCAGGTACCTGGCACTGGCAGGTGAAGATGCAACAATAACTATTTGGGATAAGCACCTAGGTGAGCTTGTCCTTTTGGACTGTGTATTGGGATCACTGTGGATAAATTGCAGCTTTGCCTACGAGTTTGAGGCTCAGACTTAGTGTGAATAAAGGGCTGGTGGTGAGTTTACAAGGAAATCTGAAAATAGTTTTTGGATTCAGTTGTCTATTGGATTCTTGGCCAGAAGTTGCCAGCGCAGCATGACTGCCCTGGCCCTTGCAGAACCATCCCCATCCAGGGCAATGGAACAGGAGCAGCAAGGACTGATCAGACTTGCCCTGAGGCTGTGAGACACTGACAGTCACTGCTTTGCCACTGCACTCTAAGGTCATTTTTGAGACTGTTGTGGCATCACAGTTCAGGCTGCTATCAGTGCTAGTGTCATCCTGCCATGATGCAGGGACTCTCCTGGCAGAAGAATCTTCTTCTGCCATCTGCATGTTCTCCCTCTGAGTAGGCCACACTCCAAACTAAGCTTTGCTTGGAATAAATTACCAGTTCCTTTTCTTCTTTCCTCAGGATACCCACTGTCTGTGACTGCCATTCTAGAGGAACGTTTCATTCGTAGTATCCACTTTCTGTGTGATTCTGCAGCTGCCAATGATAAGACACGTGATACAGATCCTGTCTGTAGTGTCTATCCCATCATACAGCTTCTAGTGCTGTGTACAGACAGCTCTTTCTATTTGGTGAAAGCCTCCAGGGCTGGGAAGTCCAGCATCACACTCCTGGCAGACAGGTGAGGTAGACTTCAGCCAAAGAAGCCATGGTTATAGTGGTCCAGTCTAACAAGGGAGCCCCAGATTTCTGTGGAGCAGAGAATTTCCTACTGTTTTTAACCAGACTGCTTTGCCATGCTGCTGTCAGCAGCAAGTGTGGTTTTGCTAGTGCTAAAATCCAATGGTTTGCCAGAATTAGGGGTGTTTCTGGGTTCTTCTGTGCACCAGAACACAAATATTTCTAGCACAGCTTCAGGGCTGATGTTGAACTATTTGTGTCTCTGCTGGGTACCCACGGGAACTTTTTCTTCCCTCTTCTGCCCTTAACAGAATACCATCCCCCTAGAAGTCAGAATAAATATTTCTTGCCATCTGTCTATCATTTTTGTGTTCATTTATCCCCTTGGTTTGAGGAGGAAGGAAGCTGCTGCTCTGAAGACTCTGATTCATGCCTCCATGGCAGGCAGGGATTTGTATCTGCAATGTAGTTCTAGGCAGGTTTGCACAGGGATGGGCCTTGGTGGTTCCTGCCCAGGAGGAGACAGGCTTTGTCTCTATAAGGCAAGGGGCTTGGCTGGGACTTTTTGCCACCCAGTGTGCCACAAATTGCCATTGTTATTATCACAGCCTTTCAGTACGTGCCAGGTACATGCAACAGCAGCATAAACCTGTGTCTCTTTTACAGGCCTGAAAATCCAAATCTTACTGTCAGTGCAGTGATGCCTGTCCTGGCCTTCCCCAGTGCAGTGAGTATTACTGCCAGCTCTCTAAACATCTGGGTGGGAACACATGTCCAACTGTGCTGGAATCTTGTTCCCAGCAAGGACAATAACTGGGTGCCTAGAAGATAACGAGCAGGGCAATCAGATATGGTCCTTGCCTCATATCCTTTCCCAGCTTTCAAATATTTTTGACATGAAGACTTCCTGCACCAGTTACAGGTCTGTGTGTGGCTGGTAATGCTCAAAGGATTTCTCTTCCATGATCTTACTCAGTATCCCCTTGCACTTGTGCCCTCTAACTGGCCACTTGTGCCCTGCAACTGGCCACTGAGGTGCACATGGACAGGTCCATCTGGAAGGTGGGAGAGTTCAGCCATGAAGCCTCAGGCATCAGGGTCAAATATGAGAGGGCATCCTGGGGAAGAAGTTACAAGTCTAACCAGACCTTACAAGTGGCCTCAGAAATTTCGCAGGCATGGGGAGAAAAGAACTAAAAGCCACTCACCATAGCAGCCATGCAGAAGGCTGGATCTAGCTCATTTCTAATGTGCCCTGTTTCCCTTTTCCAATCCAAACCTTCAGCAGTTTCAGCCCAAATTCCCTGCAAGGGCTGTTGTTCATCTCTGTCACCCTATGACTATGGGGCTGGCAAAGAAAACTGCATCATAGTTGGGGATGTGAAGTCCTGGATGTCATCTCAAGTCCTTTACAGAAAATGTTTTTCACTTCTACACCTACTTGTCCATTTTGCTGCTTCAGGTCCTGATCTTCTCCTGGGATGGCTCAGTGTCCCTGATGAACACTGACACATCACAGACTGTTTACTGCTTCTGCACTCCACCTTCTCATGCTGTAGCACCCCCCTGGCAGCCAGTGTTCACAGTGGATAGTGTGAACTGCTGCTTGCTGCTCCGAGGTGGGTGACACCTTGAGGTGGTCATAGATACACCATCACTGGATGCATTCAGCTGTGCACTGGTCCTTGACTGTTCTTGTTGGATGACTCCTGAAGCAGCAGCTCACTGTTCTTGTCTCTGTCTAGGAGTTGAGCATCAGCAGGCAGATGAATTGGTCCAGAGCAAAGCCACTCACAGCACCATCTTCCTTTTTGATTTCAAGTCCTACCCACTGAAGGAGGCTTTCCCAAAGAAACCAGATTTGCCTCTCAAACCCTTGCAGGAACTGCAGTGGATTGAGAGATGTAACATTTTCTTACGTGATAGGTTTCACTTTCTGCCTGAGAGGTAAGTGCACCTGCATTACTGTAAGCTGTGGTGTTGCTGAGTTCATGCAAGGTCTCACCCTGGAGCTTCTGGGCTGTTCTGTGTGCAGTGAGAGATTTGTGTCTGAGTAAGGTTGGTGTTCAGGCAGCTGGATTCCTGACAGCCACCCAGAACCCTTCCTCCTCTCTCTTCTGTCCTTCAGCTGTAAGTCAGGATGCAAGTTCTAATGTGGTTTTGTGCTACACAGTTTGTGCAAGCTCCTCAGGGAGTGTGAGCCTCACGTGTTTGCTTTAGATCCCACAGCCAGTCAGAGCTGGGATCTCTTTGTACCTCTCTCGACCCTTGCATTCCCGGGTTCATGTGACGTTGAAGTCGGTTTGTGCTGGAGGTTCCTTGGTTTGGGAAGGTCCCCGGCAACCTCGGGGATGGAGCATTGCGTGGATGCGGTCATTAGATGGCACTGTGACATCTCTTTTTGGGGTCCTTTGCCTTGAGCTCTGTTGGAAACCTGGAGCTAGATCCCTGTCGGTATTTTGTATCTTCTTTTCACTTCGCTTTAATTCTCCAATTTGAAATGAAACAGGTGGGTGTAGGAGTGACCTTATATCACATATTACCTGGTAGCCTTCACTAATTCCTTGTCTCCGGGGTGAATCCTGTGCACTTGTCTGGCTACTTAAGTGAAGAAAAGTTTCATCCTATGCTACTAGCCAGCAGTTCTGTCCTTCCTTCTCAAAAAGCTAGAGAGGAGACCCTTGTCTACCTTGTACCAGAAAACTGGGGAGTCACCACCTCCAGGAATATCTTGCTCCCTGGGAACTGAGAGCAGAAGCCAGAGCAGTGCAAATACAACTGCAGTGATTCCTGTGTCTACAGAGATCTAGAGACAATAGAAATTCAGAGGTCCTTGCTGTCAGGAGCAGTGAACTTGAGTATTGATTGGCATGAGGGAATCACTGAGGTTTTTTGGACACAGGTAGTTAAACTGCTTAATTGGTAGTGAGCCCCAGGGGCCCTTGGGGTCGTTGTCTGAGCACTGGGGGAATGTCAGGGACTGTTTTTGTTTGAACCACACTTTCTCCCCCTTTTTAGGCAGCAGGTACTGCTGGAAATGGAGGAGCAGGAATACTGGGATTGTCTGCAGGCACAAGCAGCTGCTATGGACAATGAGAGAGAGAAAGTGAAGGGAGAGAAGAAGCAGTAGCCAGCCTTGCATCCTGAGGGCCAGGCTCATGATCCAGCACTGACATTTTGATAGACACTATTGCAATCATCTCTCTCCCAGAGACCTGGAGCATCAGAGCAATCTGGTATGTTACAATAATACAGTGGACCTTAATAAACCCTTTCCTCCATTAAAAGTCTCTTGCTCTTCACAGGATTGGCATTTTGTCAGACTCTGATTTTCTGTCCTTGTGTTGCTGGAGCTCAGCAGTGGGTCTCATTTTCTGTTCCCACCCTGATGGGCAGCCATCAGCATCCTTGTGCTTAACCAGAAACCTGGTCCTTTCAAAAGAGGCAGCAAATTGGCTGTGGAGGTGTCTTCCCTCAAAGCATGGCAGTGCTAAGCAGCAGTGACACTGCAGAGTATGGCAAGCCTGACATTGGATGTTATGCAGTTGTTTCTCTTGACTTCAAAGCAGACAGTTTTGGGATAAGACTGCTTAGGAATTGCATCCTGGAAGGCCCATTAAAAAGTTTCAGTCTTTTTACGACTGATCATGCTTCCAGGATGACTGCCCAACCCACAAAGAATCTGACAAATCTCCCAGGAACTACTCCAATCTGTGTGCACGGGGGACAACTTTCCCCCCCCCAGGTCTCTCTCTAGTGCCTCCCACAAAGGTTCAGGAGAGCACCAAAAAAAAATCACCTGCAGAGTGCCAGGGATTCAGCACAGACTATGATGTGTAGATGCTCCCATGCCAAGGTCTCACTTCAGTTTTTCATAGCAAGTTGTCTTGTTTTGGGTTGAGTTTTGGTGAGAGGTTTGAGCTCATCCTCTGGAAACAAAGTCAGCCAATCTGTTGGGGAGGTGGGAAAAGGGAGAAGCATTCCATTTGTTTCACAGTCTCAGATGCCTGGCTTTGCTGTGGAGAAGGACAAGTCATTTGAATTGAACCTTTGTATTTGTTACCTTTGTGAAGGCTCTGAGGGCTGTAGTAAAAGCTTTTGTGCTGTCATTTTCCATCTGCCACAGATTACAGCTTCACAGCTCATCTGATTGTTAGGGATATTGGGACTGGGCTGTGTGAGCTCTTGCCATCTGCTTCAGTGTGAAGTCAGGCAGGTGAGCCCAAACCACCCTCAATGACTGCTCAAACCGAGCCACCTGGGTCAGCACTGAAGTGAACAAGGAGCAATCCTTGATCCTTCCTTCTCTTCTTGCTGTGGTGGCCATAGAACTTAATTATTTTGTTTCTATAGTACTTTCAGAAACAATAGACCTTCTGCCATAGCCAGGCATAGGAGATTACTCAGGGCAGGAATTCCTATTCCTACATTGCTTCCCATGCTGCAGAAAGCCAGCACAACTAATGTGTGGTCCCTTGAACAGCACTGGGTCTATTTCTTGCTATATGTGCAAATATAAAGGGCCTGGGGATCTGTGCCATTAATCCTACTCCATCTGCTTTCCATCCAGAAGAAGAGCAGGGCTTGCCTGGCATCAGAAGAGGCAGGAGAGGATCTGCTGAAGAGTTAGATGTGCTGTGCATCCACCAGTTTGTGTGTATTCCTCTTAAGATGTACTTGTTTGTTTGCAGTTAGAATTTGCTAAGATTCTAATCATGTGCTTGGCCAAGATAACTACGAGCTGGCAGACTCCGCAAAGAAAAGAGAACAACGAGCAGCTGCAGGAGGCTGATGAAGAGCCTTTGTTTTAACTCATGATTTCAGCAGGGGACCATTTGTTTCCTGCTTCTTCGAGGGATACAGAAAAATTGGCATGATCAGTGTGTCGACATGTGTGTTGGTGATGGAGCTCTGTGCTAATCTCCACAGCACGTTCTGGTGACAACCACAGCCACCTGATTGCTTGTTCAAAGACAACTCCCTTGGCAGCTCCACTTTCATTCCGGGTTATTCTGTGAGCCTTAGGCAGCTGTAGGTCTGTTCCAGTTTCAGCTGTTCTGATGCTGGAAATTACAGAAAGGCCTTGAGTAGTATCATATATATATATATGTATATATGTATCTCACCATCAAAAGATGAAACTGTGAATTCTGGCTGTGCCAGCTTCTAGCTCAGTGCCAAGTTCAGTGAACTCGGAGGTGCTCAGGGTATAATAGGAGCAATTTGGCTCTGTATTTTAAAAAACTAAAACAAAGTTAAAAGATGAGCTGATGGATAGAGAAGGCTGTGAGGGAGGAAGAGGCGCTCAGCTCCACGGAGAGGCGCTCAAGCAGCATCATTCCAGCACAGACAGGTTCCAGCCCAGCCGGGCGGAGATGGCTTTTCTGCGCGAGAAGGAAGACGAGGCTGTCGTTTAATCTCGTTAAATTATCTGCTGTTCTCTGCAAGAAGCCAAATGTCATCTTACTTCTTTGCATGCTTGCTTGTGCTGTGAAGGCAGAGGAAATCAGAGGTTGATATGATCTGATTCCCCCGCTCCTGGGGCCAGCAAACATTTGGGCTGTTTGGATAAGCCACGTCTGTGTCTGCTGGAAGGAGTGAGGTCCCTGGAAGAGCTGAAGTGCTGTGTGCCCTAAGATCTGCACTCCTTGTTGCCCGTGTTGCCAATTTTAACACAATAATCCACATATCCTGTAGTGTCTCACCACAAAAACCTGAAGCCATCCTGAAGAGGAAGCTGCAAAGACCTCTGTGTCCTACCTGGGGGAAATGATGTCCCTGCATGACCCTGTGGGACATGCAGTGGTGCCTGGGGCAGCACAGTCCCAGTAAGTGCTTACCTGGCTTGCTCTGGAAGTAGCAAGAGAAGGTCAAACTGCCTCCCCTGCTCTAATCTGTGTCTAGATATAGGTAAACTGTATATTGCATCCCATTCCTAATTTCCGAAATAGATCTCGTCCAAACTAGTGTTGCCTCATTACCTCTAGTGCCAGTTCCCTGTACCAGGGTGCAGTTTCTTATCATCCTCTGAGTCCAGGCTATTGCTGTTGGATTGTGGTGCTCAGCCAAGCCATGCAGATCAACTCTCTTAATCCTCCCTAATGCATTGTGCCAGGTATCTCAGTCTGGTTTATTTTGGGGCTTCTGCAAACCCTTCCAGTTTGTCCCTGTTCCCATTCCAGTTTTATGGTGTCCAGTGTTTATTGTGCTGCTCTGTCTAGGACCTGGTACAATATTCATGTGTGGTCTCACATGGGGAGCCAGGTTCTGCTGGCCTTGATACCAGACTTTGCAAAAGCAGGACAATTGGCTGGGATGAGAAACAAGCCACATTTTCAAGGCCAAGATACAGGATGAGGCTGGCTGAGTGTAGCTGAGTGCTCGAGAGATAAGAGATTTGCATGATGACGAGGGTGATGCTGTGTTTTGGCTCTTGCCCCGTGGATTTACAAGCACTCCATGGAGCTCAAGACAGACAGTGCTTGTGCTCTGAGGAACTCACAACCTACACAGAGCCAAGTGCTGGGCCTGGGTGTAGAGGAGCAGACTCGTTGTGCTGTAGGGGAGGATTTGTCCTCGCAGGAGCCAGGTCTTCACGTGGCACATCTCTGTGCAGGGCCATGTGCTGGCTAAACCAGGGAAGTCCATGGTTTAAGAGAAGGGGAAGGAGAATGACTCATGTCACTGCAGATCTGCAGATCAGACAGGAGGGAAATGTACAGTGTCTGAGTAGTGAATTGGTTGTGCTGCCAAGTTTGAAACACTTCCACTGTCTCAAGCTCATCAGACTGAACAGCTCCTTTTGGTAGAAACTTTGGGTCAGCCTGCTTGGGCAAACAGCAGCTCTTCTGCATGGGAAGGGCTGGATTGTTGGAGGGAGAGGGAATAAATTCGTGTTGTTGAGAGGGTGTTCACAGGAAAAGGGGGAAAACAATAAGTCCTGCACTGAGCAATGAGGAAGATACACTAATTAGGCAAGGAAGACGAACCTGCTCGGTTGCAATCCTGACCTAACAACCAATTATAGGATAATACAGCACAGTAATACAGGGTAAACACTAAGTGGAGGATGCTTCTAAATTAATTCCTTTTTGAAACACAGCCATCATTAAAAAACATCCGGCATCCTAATTTTAAACTGCCCATCACTGATGCCAGCACAGCCTGTGGTCAGTTGTCACAGTTGTCAAACTACCTGTGCTGTTTGAATTTGCACCTTGTTTCTGATCTGAATAGGTCATGTTCCAGCCTCCAGCTTGCCAGGTCTCTGGGAGATGGAACAGCCCACCAGGAAAAGGTGGTGTGGGTTTTGTGGAGGGACTTAGAAGCCATGTGTGTGTGTGTAAAGCAGATGCAGGGAGACTAAACAGGCTCCAGTGTCCATGGAGGACCTTAGCAGTGGGTTCGGGTTAGAGGTGAGGGGAAATTTGCACTGGCTGTGGAGGCAGCGTGAGTGTAGATTTCTGGGGAGTCATGCAGCATCCATCAATGGAGGGATATCTTGTGGCCAGGGAGATTCACCAGGACAGGGGGCACTCCTGAATTCCTTCTCAGCCAGATTTCCTGTGATTCTCAGTTTCTAGAAATGAAATGGAATGGGTTCTTGAAGTATTTCCCATACATCCTGCATTTGGGTCCTTTCTCTCTTTGAAGGCTATAACACACAGAAGGAAATGAGAAAGGCATTTCACACAATTCCTGGGACAGTGCAGAGAGGCAACTGGAGCAGGGACACAAACCAGGAACAATATTTGCACTTGTCCAAATGGGAATGGAATGTTCAGTTCCATCACTAGTAGCTTTTGCTTTTTATGGCTCTTCCCTGTGACAGAGTCCTGGCAGAGACTGAGGCAGGGATGGTGGATGAGACAGGACTAAACAGATCTGCCAGGCTGCACTTCCCTCCTGGTTCAATAACTTGTATCCTTCGTGCTTCTCAGTCAGCAGGCAGTGCTTATTATGGTTTTGTCATTTTTTCTCCTGGTCCTGTCTCTGTGGAAGTTCATATTTTAGCAATTCATTTTCTTAAAATTATTTCTGCTAAAAGCATTACCAGAAGGTCCCTTGGCACTGGTAAGTGTTTGCAAAGGGCTGAATTGTGTTGATCAGCATTACAGACAAGCCCCCTTCCAGCAGATTAAATCAGAGTCAGTGCTGCTGAGTGGAGTAACAAGGAGTAAGGCAGCTATGAGTGATAAAAGAAGGAAGCTGTGAGTTATTTGGCTTTGCTATGATCACTTTAATC